ATCTACAAACACTTTATTTCCATCTTTTCATTATCTCACATTTTTTTCTTTTCCCTTTTACCCTTCCCCTACCCGTCCCACCTTCCCTACACCTTTAGCTCCTTTCTTCCCATTTCTCAATAATACAGAAGATCCTAATAAGATTACTGACATTGAGAACTTCAACTATTTTTAAAGTTTGTTTTCTATTACAGAATAAAGCATCATTGTTTAAGATACAGAAAGTTTGAGAAGAAAAATGGAGATATCGCCCATAATCTCAGCATTCAAGTGAGTCATTGTTAGCCTTCCGTTTTGTTGAATGCCTTAAAAAGACCCATAGATGAAATTTTGCTGATATCCTCACTTTATGGTGACACGTGCATTTCTCAAAGCTATAAAAAGTTTAAACATTGCTCTAGCTAGCTATATGTAGTATATTCAGAAAGCTCTCTAACCACTTACACCAGAATGAAAGAAGGCAGCAGAAGGACAGGGCATCCTGCCACACATGCGCAGCTGTCCTGAGGCGCCCACAGCGCGTTCAGTGCTGGAGACGCAATCGCTGGTTCCCCTCCCCCACAACAATTCCAAACTGGTCTCATCTGGTTTCATTCCTCCTGTCTGGGCCCACAGGGCTGGCTCTGCATCAGGCTATGCTCCAGATCAGCAGGTCTGAATCTTGACACTAACCTGGGAAATTCATGTATAAAATGGGATTCCCCCGCCCTGAGTTCTTATAAAGACTGTCGTTATAATTGTAGAACTTTGTAATAGTGATAATAAATGACATCAAACAAAATTCTAGAGTCCCATGTAGCTCTAGCCTTCTCCTCTCTTCCGTTCTTCAGCCAGGTTTCTCAGAAATGATACCTACTTGCTGTTTCTATTTGCAGCCTCCTGTATATCCCAACCCATGGCCAGCTGGTCCATCAGTTCTGTCCTAATGAACTCTAGCTCTTCCTCTGATCTGAGTAATTTCTACTCCTGTGTTCACAGTTAATCAGTTTCTCCTTTAAACTTCTCTTGGTGTCAAGGTTCCCGGTTTTCCTATTTTTACACTGTTACACCTTATTCTCCTTTGTTCTTGAATTAGTATTCGTGTTCAGCTTTTATGCTGGAAGAAGCACGATTTCTTTGCAGTGAGAACTAAGTTGGAATTCTGGTTCTGTTCTCACTAATCCTACATTGCTAGCCTGTCTCACGTCACAAAGACAATTCCTCTCCTGGATAATCCTCCATCAAGTCGTTGTACAATGAACCTGTATTTTCCATTGGTGTAATGGATGAGTAGGCATAAACTGAAAATCCAGGCCTGGAAACCAGCTTTATACCCTTACAAATGTTAGAACTCAAAACAAGTATATGCTCTTCAAAATTTTTATTTACCAAATAAAAAGAAACAATATGAACTATGATATAAATTGTCCTTTGAGGTATTTTTCTTCCAGGGGTGGACTGGCCAAAGTTTCTTAGACTCTTAGTTGAATGCAGTTTGGACAGGGCATGCCATCTTCTCCTGGTAAATCTTCCTAGAGCATACAGATATATTTCCTTTTGAGACCTCTGAACTGTATTAAAAAGTAGGGACATCTGCCACAAAGGAAAAAAAAAAAAGTTCAATGATGTTTAGGTGAGTACCTCCCAAAGTTTCTGGAAGTGAGATGTTGGGAGACAATTTCAGTGATGTCTTACTCTCCCATTTTTATAAAAATCTACTTGGCTGAGCTCTGAGAAACTTCCCTAACAATAAAACTAGGTTTGCAAGAGTAACCTGTAGTTCTAGTCACTCTGCAGTATCAGTTTCAGTGATGCTTTTTAGTTATATTAATGCCTGCAGAAATACTAAATGAAGCAATTTATTCCAGATTCCTAGTTCCAGGTTTATGTATGAGTTTCACAATATCCAAAACATTTCCAAAATGTTTGATCCATCCTATGCTGATTGCTTTAAATGCCTTCTGCAAGTTCGAGGTCAGCTTGGGCAATTTAGTGAGACCCTTTCTAAAAAAAAAAAAAAAAAAGAGCTGGGATTACAGGCATATGCCACCATGCCTGGATCCCAGCTTTTTGGGAGGTTAAGGCAGGATTCCAAGATGAAGCCTAGCCTGAGCAATTTAGCCAGACTCTATCTAAAAACAAAACAAAAATGGCTAGAGATGTAGCTCAATGCAAAGTCCCTTGGCTCAATCTCCAATACAGGGGGGAAAAAATTCCCTCCACAAATAAAGATGCCTTAAGGATGAAAACAATTTATTTCATGTTAGCTAGTCAGGGAGATATTTGTGGGGATGAACTGAGGAAGAAAAACTAATGTCAGAATTGTGCTGCTTAAGAATTAGGAGATAGGGGCCGGGGATGTAGTGGTGCCACCACCTGCCTCACAAGTGCAAATACCTGCGAGTTTGACCCCCGGTACCAAAAAAAAAAAAAAAAAAAAAAAATGTGAGAGGAAAAAAAAATCAGGAGACAGACTAGGCGTGGTTGTGCATGACTGCAATCCTAGCACTCTGAAAAGCTTAAACAGGAACAAGTTTGAAATTAGCCAGAGCAATTTAGTGAGACCCTGTCTTAAAACAAAGAGGTGTTGGGGATGTAGCTCAATGCAAAGACCCTGGATTCAACCCCCAACACAGCAGGAGGAAAAAAAAATTAGACATCCCGAACCCCTGAAGTTATTACCCAAACCCAGCTATTAATTTCTTCACTTCTGGAACAAAGAGAAATGAAAGTCAACAGCTTGAGGATTGACTGTTCAAAAGACCTTACTTCATTAAAGTGCTATTCCTATTGAATTAATGGCAAGATTAAAGCAAATTTGCCAGGCGTGGTGGCACACACTCGGGAGACTGAGGCAGGAGGATCGCTGTGAGTTCGAGACCAGCGTGGGATACATAGTGAGTTCCAGGTCAGCCTTAACTACATACTGAGACCCTGTCTCAAAAAAACCAAAAAAGAAAAAAAAGATTAAGGCAAATTTTATTGTTAAACGTAACATATATTGCCTCGCAAGCTCAAGGTCCCAAGTTCAATCCCCAGTACCAAAAAAAAAAAAAAAAAAAAAAAACTATAATTCCCCCTACCCAAATGCTTTTGTCAACTTTTTAGTGTATTTTTATCAATGGTAAAATGCTTAACAAGTAACAAACCTCTGCACTGTAAGATTGTTCTCAAAAATTATTTAATGCATCATTAGCACTATTTTTCCAAATGGATGCTATGCTTACAAGCTCTCATTCTATGTTACAAAAACAAAAACTATTCGAAGTTCAATGTTCCCATTTAATAAAATCTCCAGCCACTCTGGATCTTCTGCAATCTAGTATTATCTGCCCACGACACTTACGGTACTTGGAACTATTATTCTGCCTTGCCTGATCCTTTCAAAACAGCACTTACATTTTACATCACTTATGTATTTACACAGTCTCCTCCATCTCGAGTTCCTAGTAAACAAAGAATATTTCATACTGGTCTTTGGCCTACCAGTTAGCACACACAAGCCACCAAAGTATCTCATGTTGAATATGGGCCAACTCTCCTATCAGCTTTCTGGGGGTCTTAAATTCTTTGAACATCAAATACCAACTTCTTTTCTCCTCAATGTAACAATATGAAATTTTTATTACAATTATTAATGAAAAACACCTGAATTTTTCTTTGAAGCTAGTGCACTAGAAAAATTTACCTTAGTGAGAGCAATCATACTCAATATCAATTATTATACTTCTCTACACTTTGTCCTTAATAGCTATAGAAATATGTAAGTTACTCCATCCATCCAGCTTTGTAGGGTTTTCTTCCCCAATATCCACCGCCTTTATACACAACTTTCTCACATCTTAAAAGAAAAAAAGCTTAATCAAGATTATTAGAAATACTGACAGCAGGCTGGATACAGTGGCACAATGCTATAATCCCAGCACTCTGGGAGGCTCAGGTGAGAGGGTGACAAGTTTAAGGCAAGTTAAGGCAATTTTGTGAGACCCTGTCTCAGTGTGAAGGCCCTTGGTTCAATCCTCAGTACCACCACCAAAAATCCAAAGCAGAAACAAGACTAATAGTCTGATCATATATCTCTATCAAAGAACAATGGTCCTGCAACGTCTACCTCTCCATATGCAAGTCTTCCCTGCTCTGGTTCTAATCAGGAAAAAAGTACTACTGAGTTCAATCCACAGTACCAGTAAATAAATAAATAAAGCACTATAACTTCAATTTGGTGGGGAGGGTTGAGACAGGGTTTCATTTTGTAGTTTAGGCTGGCCTTGAACTATGTAGCCCAGGCTAGTCTCAAACTCTTGGTGATCCTGCCTCTGCCTACTAAGTGCTGGGATCACAAGCATGCACTATACCTGGCCTAAAACCCTCACCATTTTAAAGCTTTTCTGTGACTCAGTCCAAATTAGGTCATGAATTACATCTACTTTAATTTAATAGATGTAATTTACATATTTAATAACCAATTAAAAATTATATATCACATCTCTAGCAAAACATCTATAATATGCAATGTAATATAAAAATGTATAATGGGCCATGGATTTATCTCAGTGGTTCCACGCCTGCCTTGCAAGTGAAAGGTCCTGAGTTCAATCCCTGGTACCAAAAAAAAAAATTTTTTTATGATGAAATCCAAGATGATAAACTTTTCTTTTTCCTTTATTTTTGTGAGACAGAGTTTCTTGCTTTGTAGAGCTCAAGCTGGCCCACACTCTCAGCAATCCTTCTACTTTGGCCTCCCAAGTGCTGGAATTACAGTAGTGTGCACTACCACACATAGGTGACAAGTACTTTCAAAAACCCCAAAATCAAAAATCTAAAGTCCATCATTAAATAGCCAGTAAGTTTTATATCTCATTAAACATATGCATTTAGTACTTTATATACATTATACTCTGTAGTTTATAATGTAATGAACACAAAATAGTAGAAAACAGGCACCACAAGAGTTAGACAATTAAAGTAAGCTCAGAGTGACTTTTAATATGCCAATCAATGTTAATAAGACACAAGTCAAACAGACAAGTGCAAACACGTTTTAGGCCAAAACTGAGAAAACAAAAAAGGCACAATTCTTTTGCAAAATATATTAGCCAGTATTACCAGTCAAATGGCTAATAACAGATAAAATATATTTTGAAAAACCTGGAAAAGTCAGAAGTCATTCTGGCATTTCAAAGAGCTATGTACAGTATTACCAAGATCAGTTTACATACAAAAATAATGAAAAGAAATCAGGCAAAACATTTAAAAACAGACTAACCAAACTAACCATACAGTCAAGTAGAAAACTTGGGAAGAAGGAGACATTTTAAAAAAAAGTCAAAGAAGGACATTATCAGAAAATTACAAAACCAGTAATAATTATACTACATTAATACAGCATTCCAAAGGGGGGAAGAGGTGCATTTTTCAATACACTAGCTTCAAAGAGTTCAAAGAGGAAAAAAAGGCAAATAGCTGCTTTTCATCAAGAGCAGCTATGTATTTCACATAATTGTTTCAAAAAATAGCCTATTAACAATGATGATTGTTTAATGCTACAATTTTACAGCAAAGACAAAACTAAAATAGCAGCAAATTCACAAGGCAATACTTCCACAGAATTATCATCCTATGGTTCATGCAATGCCTACAAAGTGCTCCCAGTTGGATATACAAGTACAATTCACAATTTTTAAAAAATTTAAAAAGAAGTATAGGATTGACACACAGGTACACCAGAGGCTAAGTAGTATTGATTTTAGCATTTCCCTTTTTTGAAGGGAAAATTTGTTTGTAAAAAAGCCCTTGAGTCCTTTATATAGGTCACTACAAGGAAAGACACCTCTTATTACAATGCAACAACAAACAAACTGAAAGCAGCACACCACCACAGTGGTTAACCCTGCAAAGGCTTGGTGTAACGTCCAATAGTGACTGACATCCTACAGGAGACAGACTGCTAAGACTAGACAAAGCCTGATATAGCAATGGTCAAAATACAGCTTTCAACTGTAGTTCACAAATAAAAATCCTAAAAGGTGCTTCAGTAAAACTACTGAGACCAATCAAGAAATTAATTGCAAAGTAGATTCTAGCAGTGATTCCAACCTAGCTTCCTCTTGTCACAGTTTTTTGGGGTATGTGGGAAATGAGTAGTTCAGTATATAGTAAGGCTGACAGAGCGGTTCATTTTCTTTCCAATAAGTCGAGAGGTTCTATTACTCTGGGTGGTGGATCTAGTGGCCATCCTGTCAGTGAAGAGTACTCTTTCCTCAGCTGCAGCTTTTGCCATCTGAGCTTTCTTGAGTTCTCTAAGAACATGAAAATATGAAAGAATTTTTACCTATTATTATTAATAAGCCAAACACCAAAAACATTATAAATTGGGAGATATTAACAAACCATTATTATTTTAAGATCCAATTGAGGAAAGAAATAATACAACCTGAGATTTTAGCAGCTAGTCAACTTAAATTTGTAAGTATTTTATTCTGTGCTTTTCTACTAAAAATATCACATACACATTAATACAAGCCAGGCAATAAAGATGTTAGTACAGGTAATGATTCGATCTTTAAAAATAATTTTAAATAAAACTAATTTACATAGATAAAAGTAAATCTCCATTATTTGTATAAACCATAATGAATATCAAACTAGTAAATCTTTGAGTACAAAGCTCTTGTAATTTAAACTTTAAATCAGAATACTATCAAATCAAACCTTTTCAAATCAAAAGGTAGGAATAAGCCAATCAGAAATGTGTTCTGTGATTAATAATACTCTCCAATACTTCCTTCCCTCTTTTTGTTACTGGGGATTGAACCCAGGGAAACTAACTACCATTAAGCTACATCCTCAAGTCTTTAAAAAAAAAATTTTTTTTTTTTTTTTTTTTGGTACCAGAGATCAAACTCAGGTCCCTGAACTTGCAAGGCAGGCAGAGGAACCATTGAGCTTAAATCCCCAGCCCTATTTTTCATTTTCTTTTCAATTAGTTGCTCATTATTTTCCTTATTTAATTTTATTGGTATCCTTTAGATATACACATTGATAACATCATATGGAATTTGTACCTGTCCATGATACATCTTTTTTTCCTATTATTTTCATATTTTTTTACAGTACCAGGGCTTGCATTCAGGGTCTTCAGTACCAATCCACTTTCCTAACCCCTCTACTCTGCTTTTTTGACACAGGATTACACAAAATTGTACAAGCTGAGTTTGAATTTGCGATCCTTCTGCCTCAGTCTGAGTGCTAAGTTTACACACATGCACCCCTACTTTTCATTTTGAGACAGTGTCTCGCCAAGTCGCCTAGACAGGACTTGAATTTACACTTGTCCTGCGCCTTAGCATACTCAGTGCTGGAATTATAGGTGTGCACTACCATCCCTTGCTTAGTCTTAACATTCGTCCCAGTCCTGTACTGGGGCTTGAGCTCAAGACCTTGCACTTGCAGGTAGGCACAGTGCCACTGAGCTAAATCCCCAGTCCCTAGTTTTTTTTTTTTTCTTTCTTTTCAGACAGGGTCTCACTATGTAGTTGAGACTGACCTGGAACTCACTATGTAGCCCAGGCTGGTCTCAAACTCAGAGCGATCCTCCTGCCTCAGCCTCCTGAATGCTGGGATTACAGGCATGCGCCACCACACCTGGCGCCAGTCCCTAGTCTTAACTTTTTTTTTTTTGGTACCAGGGATCAAACCCAAGTCCTTGCACTTGTGAGGTAGGCACCGAAACCACTGAGCTAAATCCTCGGCCCTAGTCTTAACATTTTTAAAGTTTGTAATTTCAAAGTTTAATAACACAAACTTAATAGTTCAAATATTAATTTAAGACAGAAATCGTTAAACTGTTGTGTAGTAACATACCACACTACCAAAACCTACCAGGGATTTGGCTCAATGGTTCTGCCACCTGCCTTGCAAGTGCAAGGGCCCAAGTTTGATCACTATTAAAAAAAAAAAACCTACCAAAACCTTTGTTGACAGAAAGCATTTAAATGGTGTCATTAAAATCTGAGAATCAAGCTGGATATGGCAGTGCATGCCTGTAATCCCAGTACTCAGGAGGCTGAGGCAGGAGGATCGCTTAGAGTTTGAGGCCAGCCTGAACTGCACAGCAAGACCCTGTCTCATAAAAACTTTTTAAAATAAAATTTGAGAACTAATGAGAAAGTAAAAACAAAACCATAAGAAAAGCCCTCACTTACTTCTGCAAAAGTGAATTTTTGAACTTTTCAGCATTCAATTCTATTCGTAATTGTTCTGCACTCTTTCTAGATGCAGACAACAATACTGAATGCTTTACTAGTGCCTTTGCTGAAGGTCTCCTCTCTGGATCTGGATGAATCATAACCTTAGAGAAATAAAATTAAAAGATATAATTTCATAATATATGGAATATCGTCAATAAAGTGCTTTAGGTAGAAAATACTTACTTTTAGCAACTCTGTAAATTCCTGGGAAAGCACCTGTGGAATCCGAGGTAATCTACCCTGTCTGATTTCATGCCATTGGTCTCCGTTTCTGGGAAGAGGTTCAGCACCAGCAGCACAAACCACTGTGAGGGCAAGGGCAAATATATCCGCTTTCGGCAGATGGGTATAATTCTGAAAAAAATTTTAAAAACTTTAAAAAAAGAGAATGTAAAAATGGTCAAAACAAAAGATTATATTCAGTGGTGACTTAGGTGAGAAATAACACGAAATTCAAATATTCAATGCCACATTTAAGTTAAGGACCCTTTCAGAGAACAAGCTGCTAAATTTGGGGAGACTTCTTTAATTTTTTAAATTACGAAGTAAACACTTGGGACAAGAGGCCTTAAATATAATCTCTAAAAGTAGATGCTTCTTCTTCATATTAGCCCAGTTAAAAATCCTCTGAAGAAACTCCTATCCTCTTAGAGATCTGTATGAGAAACATGCTTGGGCCAGGGATTTAGCTGAGTGGTTCCGCTGCCTGCCTCACAAGCACAAGGACCCGAGTTTGATCCCCGGTACCAACAAAACAAAAAAAACCAAAACATGCCTGTATGAGCTTACCAAGTTATAAAGACACATATATGTAACAAAGCATAGATGTGAGCAGAGTTCACATTATACTTTTTATGTTGTTGCTTATTCTTATTTCAAAAGTCATAATCGTTGAGACCATATGCCATAATGTACTTAATCATCTTACAAGTATACTATTCCCAATATGTTTGTATTTTGTGTATGTGAATATTTCCACAAGACTTATAGAAGTGAAAATTGAGTCAGAGTAGATAATTTTAAAATATTGAGATTCTGATACTTTAACCTCCAAAAATGCTATTCAATTTTAAAGTTCCATAAGTAGTATTTAGAACTTCTCTTTAAGAACAATGCCATTGCAAATCTTTGCCTTCACACTTTTGTTAAATTGTAATATTCTCAGGTGATGGTTTAGATTACTTCTGTTCTACTAACTAAATTTTAATATATTTGAATATATATTTTATCAAATGGCAAATGGAATAAATAAAAAAGCAATACTCTTTTCACAGTGGTCTGCTCCTACCCTAAGAAAAAAGTATTACTGAAGAAAAACAATTACCTCCTGTAAAACTTCATTTGCAAGAAAACGACTATCGCCTTCTTCAACTTGTGGACTAGAGATTCTTGTTACATGCCCAAGATCACCTAGAAATATTGAAAAAGTACAGTCAAAAATTAAAAACCAGGCTATCATGGCTTTCCTCATGATAGATTGCCCTCTTTTAACCAGTGTGTTTATTTTCCCTCTTTTACTCAGCCTGCAGAGCTAATTTCTCCCTACTCTTCTCTTTTACTTTTGCAAACAAACTTTGCCACTGTGGACAAAAAAAAATAAATAAATAAATAAAATAAAATAAAATGAAATAAAATAAAATAAAACCAGGGCCAGAGATTTAGCTCAGTGGTGCCACCAGCCTGGCAAGCGCAAGGCCCTGAGTTCAAAAAGGAAAAAGAAAACCAAAGCCAGGGGCCAGGTATATAGCTTAGGGGTGCAGAGTCTGCCTGGCAAAGTGCAAGTCCCTGAGTTCAATGCCAGGTGTAGCAGCACAGGCCTCTATTCCCAACACTTAAGAGACTGAAGCAGAAGGATCACTGGAAGTTCAAGGCTGGCCTGGGCTACATAGTGAGATCGAGACCAGTATGAACTTCATAGTCAAACTGTCTCAAAAAACAACAGTAACAAAAAAGAAATAAAATCAGCCAACTGTGGTGGTACACACATATAATCCCAACATTTAGGTAGGCTGAGAAAAGAGGAGGATTCCAAGCCAGGCGTGGTGGTACACGCCTGTAATCCCAGCACTTGGGAGGCTGAGGCAGGAGGATCACTGTGAGTTCAAAACTAGGCTAGGCTACATAGAGAGGTCCAGGTCAGTCTCAACTACATAGTGAGACACTGTCTCAAAAAAAAAAAAAAAAGAAAAGAGGATTTCAAGTTTTAGTCCAGGCTGAGCAATTTAGTAAGACTCTATTCTCAAAAACCAAAAACAAACAAAAGTACAAAGTGGTAGGCTCAGTGGTAGTATGTCCCAGTACCACAAAAAGAAGAAAACAAAGGCATGAAATGTAGCTCAATAGCAGAATATTCGCCTAGCATGTATAAGGTCCTAGATTCAAACCCCAGTACCAAATCAATCAAAACAGCCTTTTTTTTGGTACCAGAGATCAAACTTGGGACCCTGAGCTGGTGAGGCAGGCGGCAGAACCACTGAGCTACATCTCCAACCCCAAAACAGCCTCTTACTTAATTTTAACAGAATATTCTGGTTATCTTATTTTCTTACCTATTTTAAACACAACTCTGTTGGATACCCAGTCATCCTCATCTCCTTCTTCAGAGGCAGCATTCGGGATTGAAGTTCGAGATATGAAAATATTACCTGTTAAATAGTTAAATTACATAAGCCAAACTAATAGTATTAACTATAGTTTACAAAGTCAAATATCAAAATCATCCAGAAAGTCTTTCTAAATATAGCTTCTCATGTTCTACCTCAAACTCAAAAGAATCTCAAGGGATTAGGACTAGGCTGTATTTCCTGAGTATTATTCTCTATATTTGGTGAGTGACAAATTTACAAATAAAAAATGCATATATAACTCAGAATTAAGGAATATAAAATTACTTAAATTCCCATGAATCAAAACATATTTCCAAAACAACAAAAAGCCCTGCAAAATCCAACTTAAAAAATACCAGTGAGCTGGGTGGGGTGGCGCATGCCTGTAATCTCAGCACTCATGAATGCTGAGAGGACTGCTGCAAGTTTGAGACCAGCCTGGGCTACTCAGTGAGTTCCAGAGCAGACTGAACTACATAGTGAGACCCTGTGTCAAGAAAACAAAACAACAACAACAAATACCAGTGGCACCATGCCTGCCTCACAGCACAAGGTCCTGAGTTCAATCCCCGGTACCACCAAAAGAAAACAACAACAACAAAACACATACACACAACACCTAGCCTAAAAATGTTTACTATGAATCTATGCATCCTTAGTTACAACTCTCAATTGATAGGAAATACAGCAGAGAAGGAACAAGCTAAATGATACAACAACAAAACAAAAATCCAGAAAAAAAAACACCTTGTATGACAAGTCTATCATTTTAATAAGTAGGGGAAGCCAGGGGTGGTGGCAAATGGCAGTACTCTTAGCACTACAGGAGTCTGAAGAACACTGTGTTTAAGCCTAGTCTGGGTAATTTAGAGATGTGGCAAGATGCTGTCCCAAAATTTAAAAAGTAAATAAATAAAAATTTAAAATGGCGCTGGGCATGGTGGCACCTGTAATCCCAGCACTCAGGAGGCTGTGGCAGGAGGATCACCCCAAGTACAGGGCCAATCTGAATTACAAAGCAAGACTGCCTCAAAAAACAAACAAACAGCAAACAAACAAACAAACTGAAAATGGCCTGGAGAAAGCTCGGTATGAAGGCTCTGGGTTCAAAGCCCAATAACACACACACACACACCTGTGCATGCACAAAGTAGGGGAAGAGTGAAACCCATCAAAGATGTATCTAACCTGCCAGGCATGGGGTCACACACCTATAATCCTGGCACTTGAGAGGCTGAGGCAGGAGGACCACTCTGAGTTCCAGGACAGCCTCAACTACACAGCAAGACCTTGTGCTGTTGTGCCCCACCCTGCCACAAAAGACAGTTCTAACCAGATGCATTGCATGGGTCTGGAACAGACTCAAATCAATGACTTGGGTCAACAAGAGAAATGTTCAATGTGGTCTAGTTTAACAGTGAGGTTTTAAAAAAAATTTGTAGTCTCCCAATCAGAGTCCTACTTTAGGACTACTTAGATGCTACAAAATACAGCAAGTTACAGCTGGGGATTTAGCTCAGTGGTTCTGCTGCCTGCCTGCCTGCGGCCTCACAAGCACAAGAACCTGAGTTCAATCCCTGGTACCAAAACAAACAAACAAACAAACAAACAAAAAACCCAGCAAATTTCCCAGCTTATATTGTGTTAAATTTGGGGGGCAAGTAAGACACTAATGAAAGTCACTAAACAATACTGATAAATGAGTCAAAGACTTTTTAAAATTAACAATAAAAAAACATTTTGTTATGAGGCGATTTATTTTCTGTAACCCCGAAGAACAAAGATCAGAGGATTTTTAATACTTACTAGGTTTTATATCCATGTGAACCAAAGACATTGAATGAATGTATCTTAAACCCCAGCCAACTTGCAGAAGGAGATCCTTCAATTCTACTTCTTTAAAATAACTCATGATTCTGTAGTTTTCACTTATAGCATCAGCTAAACTTCCACCTAACAAAAACAGCAAAAATTAATCTTCTTGTTTCTGGAAGACTTACTCTTCCTCCTTCCCTCTTTATTGAATGATTCTTATTGCAACGAAGAAAGGGTAATTTTATAGGGCCTCTCCTTTCAACCTGCTTGTGAAACCAAATTTTCACTTTTTCTTTTAATAGGTTGTATATGCATATGGCTAGAAATGTAATTTAAAATCTCTCTCACCCTTATACCCCAATAACTTACCTGGTTCACTTTTCCAGAATAGAGTACAGCAATACTATCAGTTTCTTATGCATTCTCTGGGGAAGGGGTGTGTTACTGAAGACTGGATCCAAGGCCTTTGCACTAAGCTACATCCTTAGCCAGCTGGCCTCAAACTCATGCTCCACCTGTGGCAGCCTCTCAAGTGCTGGAATTTCAGGTGTGTACTACCACACTCGTCCATTATTACGTATTCCTTTTAAGTAACTTTTTTTCTTTTTTGATTTTGAGACAAGGTCTCAATATGTAGTTCAGACTAGCTTTACATTCACTACATAGCCTAGACTGGCCTCAAACTCACAGCAATTGTTTTGCCTCAGCCTCCCAAGTGCTGGGGTTACAGATTTATATCACCATGCCCAGCTTAAAGTGAGTAGCTTTCAACTTTGCTTTACCAGCCAGGCATGATGGCACATAGTAAGTTCAAGGACAGCATGGCCAAGATCCCACCTCAAACACAAAAAACTCTGCTTTACCATGCCCTCTGGCATGTCTTCCTTACCACAGGTCCAGAAACACTGAAGGACTTAGGGAAATTGAAAGCTATACAAGGAAGTTTAAAATTGACCCTACACATGCTTGTACTATTTCAATTTGGGGAAAGAGAGCAGAGAGAAGCCCAGCTAAAAATCAAAAGCATAATTTACTTAACAGAGAAATGATGGACTCTGCCGGGCCATGGTGGTGCACGCCTGTAATCCCAGCACTAGGGAGGCTGAGGCAGGAGGATCGCTGTGGGAGTTCAAGACCAGCCTGGCTACACAGTGAGTTCCAGAGCAGTCTGAACTACATAGTGAGACCCTGTCTCAAAAAAAAAAACAAAAACAAAAAGAAAAGGAAAGAAGGACTCTTAACTGTAAAGGAGGTTTGACAGATGGGGAATGAAAGATTACAGAATGCTGTGAGAAGAGGGCTAAATTAAGGTCAACAGAGAGTCACTGTCCTTATGAGTAACCAACATTGGTATTAGGAGCACAAATTAAATGGAGCCAGACATGGTGGTGCATGCTTGTAATCCCAACTACTCAGGAGGCTGAGGCAAGAGCACCACAAGTTCAAGACCACCCAGTTGGCAAGTTAACCAGATTTTGTTTCAAAATAAATTCTTTTTTTTAAAAGGGCAGGGATGTCTCTCAGTGCTGACTATTTTGCCTAGCATGCACAAGGCCCTGGGTTCAATACCCAGTACTGCCCCCCGCAAATGGAAAAGTAAGGCTAGATGCAGCAAGAATCCATTAAACAAACATCTATGCTATGATTTTAATGTATCCTTCAAAGTTCATGTGTGGGAAAAAAAAATTTATTTTTTTGAGACAGGGTCTCACTATGTAGTTGAGGCTGACCTAGAACTCACTATGTACCAGGCTGTTTCAAACTCACGGTGATTCTCCTGCCTCAGCCTCCCTGGTGCTGGGATTACAGTGAATCCTCCTGCCTCAGCCTCCCTAGTGCTGGGATTATAGACATGTGGCACCACACTCGACTATGTGTGGAAAATTAACCTTCAATACAACAATACTGGGAGATGAAGCCTAAGAGTAGGCTATGAGGGATCCACCTTCAAAAACTAGATTGTGTTTATCACATGAATCAATGTTTAAAAAAAGGCAGTTTAGGTTTCTCTTGCCCTTTTGCCTTTCAACAAGAAATGATGTAGTATGAAGGTCCTAACAAGATACAAATGACAAGATCTTTGACACTCCAGCTTCCAAATCTGTTAAATAAATTTCTGTTCATTCTAAATTAGCCAATCTGAGATATTACTTTATAGTAGCAGAAAAGAGACTTCAAAACAAAACTTTTTTTTTCTTTGCTGTTTCTTTTCTTTCTTTTTTCTTTTTGGTACCAGGATCGAACTCTGGCCCTTGTGCTTGTGAAGCAGGTGGTGGAACCACTGAGCTAAATCCCCAGCCCTTGCTGTTTATTTCTTGAAACAGGATCTTACTGTAGTAGTTCAGGATGGTCATGAACTCCTGGCAATCCTCCTGCCTCAGTCTTCCAAGTGCTGATATTATAGGCATGCACCACCTTGCCCAGCGGACTTAGACAATCTTAACTACTATGTGCTCCACACACTATGCTAGGTGCTAGGGACTCCAGAATACACATGGCAGGGCCACTATCCTCGCAGAAAGCTCAGTACAACTTGCACAATAAGTATATAAACATTGTACAAAATTCTACCACTGAGGTACTATAATGTGCTTCAAGGCTGGGGATTTAGCTCAGTGGTTCTGCTGCTTGCCTCAGCACAAGGACCCAAGTTCGATCCCCAGTACCAAAAAAACAAAAACAAACATGAAATATATAATGTGCTTCAGAAGGGACAAGGATTTCAACCATTTGCACCTGTAATTCATGTTAGGTCTTTGATCTTTGAATTTGCAAGAAATGGAAACAAGAGTCAGAGAGACACAGAAGCAGAGAAAGAGAGCACACAAGCATAGGAGGAAAATTTTAAGATAAATATTACGTTGTTGCTCATTTTTTGAGGCTCACAAGTTTATGAAAACCACTTATTACTCACCATTACAATACTCATTCTGTATAAGCATATGATCATCTTCTGCCCAAGCAGAGAAATACCGAACCACATGAGAATGCTGTCCAAGCACTGCATGAGCGTATACTTCTCTCAAAGCGTTCTGCCTAAGAAAAATGAGAAAACCAGAATAAAGCATTTTTACTCAAGAATAAGCCCCATTACTTAAAATTTCATAAATATACTTTCATAACCATCATTATGCTGCAAAGCCATCTGATTAAGAGAGGGGTTAAGAGCCATACAAGGTTTTCCAAAGACTTCCATTAAAGATGGCTGGGAAGGGCCAGGCACGGTGGTGTACACCTGTAATCCCAGCACTTAGGAGGCCAAAGCAGGAGGATCGCTGCAAGTTCTGGGTCAGCCTGGACTGTATCGTGAGTTTAAGAACAACCTGGACTACACAGCAAGATCCTGTCTCAAAAACAAAGATCTTCAGGAAGAAGAAAGCATGCTGATCCTAGGATTTAGGGAAGATTAAAATGTATTTTCCTATAAATTCATGGATGCTGGCCAAAACTTCCAGTTAAGCTCTAAAATCAGACTATTCATATTACTTACCAAGTAGAATTTACAAATCCTAACACCTCAATAAAATATTAATTTCAGTCTGATAATCTAAAATCAATGTTTTTGGTACAAGGGGTGAAACTCAGGATCTCACACTTGCCAGGCAGGCACTATACCACTGAGCTACATCCACAGCCCGTAACACCTTAAAGTTTGTAATGCTATATATAGGAGGAAAAAGAAGTAATAGACATAAATGTTTAATACATACTCATCAACAGAACCAGCCAATGGCTTTTTTGATCGCTTAATGGCATAAATGCATCCATCCAGCCTCTTCACACACTTAAATACAGAACCAAATTCTCCAGATCCAATTTTCTCCAATTCATGAAATTCTGTTGTATACCGTGACTTCATATTACTTTCAGTAATTGTAATTCTCTGCAAGCCATAAAAAGGGTATCCGTATATAATACAAAGACACGAGGATAATGTTTTTGCTAGTGATAGTTCTATGTATAAAATTTTAAAATCACTGTTACTTTCTATGTCAGTGCTTATTTAACACTTATGTATTAGAATGTCTTAGGAAGTAGAAAACCAAATTTCACAAATAGTAAAAGAGCTATTTACTTTAGCAGGTCTTGTCTCATCTTCAAATTCATAATCACTGACTTCCATGTCTTCACAGGAACTGAAAAAAAAGTACACATTTTTTCATCAATATATTTAACAAATACATAAACTACCAATTCAAAACTGTTAAGTCTGCAATGCAATGAAATGAATTTTTAATGGAGAAATATAAAAGCATTTAATTCTGTAATCAAAAGATTCAGTCCAGGGACGGGGATTTAGCTCAGGGTTCCACTGTCTGCCCTCACAAGCACAAGGACCCAAGTTCAATCCCTGGTACCTAAATAAATAAATAAATAAATAAATAAATTCAGTCCAGTTGATCAAAAAGTCCCAGTGGAGATATACTCACTAATTAGAAATCAATACCCCACTACACATCAGAATTAAAGCCTTGCAAGTGGGAAGGGTAGGGGAAAGGAAATAAGGGAAAATAAAAAAAATATGAGAAAAGGAAAAACTGGAAACAAAGTCTTTGTAAATAGGGAAGAGTGGAGGGGGTGAAGGGAGAACAGGGACAAGGGGAAAAAAGAGAACCAAGATCTGTCATGTAAAGGTACAAGATACCAATGATGAATATAACTGTACTGAATACCTAAAAGGTACCAATAAACAACGGAAAAAAAAAAAATTAAAGCCTTTCTATACCAACTCTGCCTGATCCACTTTGACATCAAATTCTCTAAAATCTAGGTTTTTAAATTCTTTTTTTCCCTCACATTACTCCTTTCCTATATAACTGATTACTTTCCATTTATCTCTGGAGAAAAGAAAAAACTTTAAAATACAACCAACCATGCCATCAGTAGAAACTAAATTTTGGAAAGTATACCAAACCAATCTGAGGTGTTGGGGGAACAAAACTATCAATACACGACTTACTCATTCCAATACGCTCTCTTTCTTCCTCGACACTGTCCTGAAGAATGAAGCAACACAGAATCCGGGGTAAAAGGATTGATATTCACTTGAGGAGTCTGTCGTATGTCATACTCTCTTTTTCCTGATTTTTCTGTGTCCATGAAAAGAGAGCCCCGGAGTTTAACAGAGCTGGAATCAATTCCTCGAGCTTTGGAAAGCAAACTCTAGAGAAGAAAAAGTAAAAATCTTAGAATTCAAGTCTTATGGAGGTCAGGCTTCTCCATCTACCCTCCAACAGGCCTTTTAAGTGGCTGAAAGTGCAGGCCAAAACAACACGAGGGCTGGGGAGTAGCTTAGTGGAGGGGCGATTGGGTAGTAAATGGGAGGTCCTATGCTGGATCCAAAAAAGACCCCTCGAAATACAGCACTTAAGTCTCTGCTATATTTCACACAAAATACGTAGAGAATGGTTAATTTAGGAGATGGAGGCTGAGGCTGAATACTACCTTTCTGAAAAGGACAGCAAAGTAAGAGAGATCTCTAGCCCTAAAAGGAATATTTATGCTGAATAAAACAACGTGCTTTTTATTAGTACAGTAGCTCAAAGTTAAACTCTGATCAATCATCTACAAATAGAAAACAGTCCCATAAAAGCTCCCCGTCTCCCTCCAACCAGGGCTTGGAAAGCCACCTCCAATGGACTCCTCCCCCCTGGCACCCACAGTGAGCTTGCCCTGGGATAGTCTGCTAATAAACCGCAGTGCTGCAAAGCCCAGCCTCCAGGCTACTGACCAACACTCACTATCTCTAGGGTCTCACCTTAGAGGTCCATTTCTTACATTTACCTTACAATTCGATGCTTGTCTTATCTCGGGAAGTGTCCATTCTTAATTCTTAATAAGATGTGACTTCTCAAAGTTTTAGGGGCCATGATCTGCACGCTCACTGGCCATTTGGACACACAGGGGCCCGACACCTACTTCTTTAAGACAAGTGATCATCAAAACAGCTCGAGGTTCCTAATCTTCACTCGTCGCCAGCCCAACTTGGGCTCTGCAAAGCCGCGGACAAAAGCAGTCGCTTAACCGACACCACGACCGAAGGTAGCTTAAGTGCTACGTGGAGTTATTTCGGAGTCGTTAAGATCCTAGGTGCAGGGAAGGCCAGCCTGACGCCCAAGCGGGAACGCAGCCTCTCCCTCCACACCAAAAACTTTCCCTTCAGACCGCAGAACACAAAACGATAAGCGCAGGGGCATTCTTTTTTTTTTTCTTTTTAAACAAACACCTTCTGCGCCGGGCCGCCCAAATTACAGGCCCGATCGCCCCATTTCAAAGGCACCATCTGGCCAGGGAGGGTCAGGTGGCCGGGGCCGCGCCGCACTCGGGGAGCCCCCGACGGCCCAGGTCCCCCCTCTGGGAGGCGAAGACGTTCCAGACGAGCCCATTGTTCTGTTACCCGACCCTAACCGACGCCTACTGGAAGGCGGGAGGGGCGCGGCCGGGCGGCTCACCTTGGGCGTGTGCGGGGTGTCGAAGAGCCGCAGCTTGCGGAAGGTCTTGTGCGGC